TTTTTCCCGGTCCATAATTATTATTTTTGATAATTATATAATTAAATATTTCGGAGCTCAACAAAAGTAGTTATCGCTTGGTGTTTTGCTACTTAGTAAATACAATATATATATTATATATATATATATATATATATATATATATATATATTATATATATAATATATATATATATATATATACTCACACGGAGAGCTGTTTATAGCTCAGTGTGTATACATTCAGAGTTTACGTTAATTAATATTTTTGTCTTAAAGTATTTTTGGCGTTAATCTTCTTGTGAAATGCAGTCGTAATGATCCACGGACAGTTGATAGGCTTCCCACCTAACAAAGTAGTACACATTCAACTCGTTCTTTAATAATTTTAATCAGGTGGAATCACTAAATTTATAGGGGATTAAAGGCATTAAAGTTCGATCTAAAGAATAAGAGGATAAGTCCAGTTCCTTAGATCAAGAGCCTCACCGGCATTGAGACGCCTTCCTCGTCGGGATTCATTTCTACAGTCTGTATTGTCTTAGAATGTTTCATTGTGAGGGATTGATGATTTGGAATGAAGGTGAGTGTCCGTCTTGGAGTAGTGATGAGGGGGGTGGCGGTGCTAGTAAGTGTGGCCCAGCGTGGTCACTCAACTAACTGGGATCTTTACATTCACTTTGCTCTCCTCCATGCCAGCTATGCATTTATATGACTTTATTGTGAGATTTCCTCTTTTTTTATATTCCCTTATCTTTTTCTTGGCCACTAGTTAATACAAATCAGCTCTTACCAAAGAACGTTTTGTTCTTATTCTACATTTTATGATTATTAAATTTGAATGAATACTATCTTAATCGTTTTTTATGTTTTTTTTTCAGTAAATCGTCTTTAAAATATATTTTTGTTTACCTTCATTTTTCAAATTTTGCATCGCTTTTATATTTTTCTTAAAAATATACTTTTTCATGATTTCTTATGTTAATGACGTAGTTGATTTTTTAAATAATTTGGTTACATATCTCGCCAGACGGGAAACTCCTGTGCCCATTATTCAAGTTATGGGCATCAGGAACTAGTGACGCGTAGCATCCGTTCCTTTATTTCTTCACTTAATGTTTGTTATTAAGTTATTTTATGTTACACAAAACCAAAAGTATTAACTAGGCGGTTTGTAGCTGATGTTAATCTATTGCGCGACTAGTTACACGTTAAGATTTTAGAAGCTAACATTAATCTCTCATTGAAGGGAATTCTAGCAACTACTGCCAAGGTGGTTCTTGAATGAGCAAACAATGAGAGATTGTGAAGAGCTTTTAAAGGCAGCAGGTTGTAATGACAACTTAATATTCTCCATTTCCATAGGAAATACGGTTTTCAAACCTTGTGGTTCGTCAAATAATATTTAAATGTTTGTTTTTCCTTTAACACTTGTTAGTTTTACCAAGTCGGAGCTACATTGATTCTGAAAAAAATTACCTCTTCCTGACAAAAGGATACGAGTCTTAGCTATTCTTGTAATTTCCACGCCCAGCGATATTTATAATCAGAGTTGTCTACTATTAACAGGTCATATTATATCTTTAACCACAGAAAATGATTCAAAAGCATATTGAGCCATTCTGATAGTGTTTGTTGAATTTCTGATGGCGTCAAACTCACGTGGTATTCATTACCAAAGTTTGTACAGTAGATTAATATTCATTAGTCCCATTGTTGTCATAAGTATAACTTAATTGTAGATATACAGGCTGTATTATGCTAGGGCAGGTAATGAGAAACAGTAGTCTGTATTTTTTTGTAATAATGAAAAACTTGCTGAATTTGTTTTACATGGAAATAATGTTTTTTTTTTTTTTTAATATGGTTCCAACATGATGTTCCACAGTTATGTCATATACAGTGTTGTTACTGTAGTGTCGTAATTAATTCTTCTTAGAAACAAAATTTAATTGACTTGATGCGAAGTTGAGCTGTTTTTGATTTGTTTGCGCTTATCAGAAATATTGATTGATTTTTGCTGGTGTTAAATATTCATTAATCTACTATGTCTACTGATTTGTGTCGGTAAAATGTTCACTGATTTGATTCTGCTTGTGTGAAATGCTCAATTATTTATTTGTGCCTGTGTGAAATTTTGATTGATTTATTTATGCTTATGTGAATTGTTCATTAATTTGTTTCTGCGTGGATGAAATTTTCATTAATTTGCCTCTTGCATGTGTGAAATGTTCATTAATTTATTTTCGTCTAGTGTGGTCTCTTTCATCCATTTGTTTATGTATAACCTATTGATGGAACAGTTAAGGCTTGTGTGACTGGTTGATGTGTTTCTGTTTGTGTGACCTGCTAATTGATTTTTCGTTTGTGTGACCTGTTTATTGATCTGTTTGCTTGACCTGTAAATTGATTTATGTTTGTGTGACTTAATTTGTTTCTGTTTGTATGACATGTTAATTACTTTGTGTTTTTGTGACCTGTTAATTTGCTTCTGCTTATGTGACCTGTTAATTGATTTAAAGATTCCTGTTATTAGTACTAAGTTTATAAACTACGGTGCGGTGTCCGAAGAATCTTAGTTATTTTTCCTTGCCGAAAATTATTTGATCTTGTACTTACATTATTGTTGTCAGGCATATCACGTGGATATTGTGTTGGTAGCCGTTCTAGAGTGAAAGTACCGGTGTGTTGGTAGCCCTTCTAGAGAGTACTGGTGTGTTGGTAGCCCTTCTAGAGTGAGAGTACCGGTGTGTTGGTAGCCCTTCTAGAGAGTACTCGTGTGTTGGTAGTCCTTCTAGAGAGTACCGGTGTGTTGGTAGCCCTTCTAGAGAGTACTGGTGTGTTGGTAGCCCTTCTAGAGAGTACCGGAGTGTTGGTAGCCCTACTAGAGAGTACTGGTGTGTTGGTAGCCCTTCTAGAGAGTACTGGTGTGTTGGTAGCCCTTCTAGAGAGTACCGGTGTGTTGGTAGCCCTTCTAGAGAGTACTGGTGTGTTGGTAGCCCTTCTAGAGAGTACCGGAGTGTTGGTAGCCCTACTAGAGAGTACTGGTGTGTTGGTAGCCCTTCTAGAGAGTACTGGTGTGTTATAGTCCTTCTAGAGAGTACTGGTGTGTTGGTAGTCCTTCTAGAGTGAGGGTACTAGTGTCTTGGTAGTCCTTCTAGAGTGAGAGTACTAGTGTCTTGGTAGTCCTTCTAGAGTGAGAGTACTAGTGTCTTGGTAGGCCTTCTAGAGTGAGAGTACTAGTGTCTTGGTAGTCCTTCTAGAGAGAGAGTACTAGTGTCTTGGTAGTCCTTAGAGTGAGAGTACTGGTGTCTTGGTGATCCTAGAGTGAGAGTACTGATGTCTTGGTAGTCCTTCCTTTTAGAATGAGAGTACTGGTGTGTTGGTAGACCTAACGTGGGAGTACTGGTGTGTTGATAGTCCTTCTAGAGTGAGAGTACTGGTGTGTTAGTAGACCTGGCGTGGGAGTACTGGTGTGTTGGTAGACCTGGCGTGGAAGTACTGGTGTGTTGGTAGACCTGACGTGGAAGTACTGGTGTATTGGTAGACCTGACGTGGGAAGTACTGGTGTTGGTAGACCTGACGTGGAAGTATTGGTGTGTTGGTAGACCTGACGTGGAAGTACTGGTGTGTTGGTAGACCTGACGTGGAAGTACTGGTGTGTTGGTAGACCTGACGTGGAAGTACTGGTGTATTGGTAGACCTGACGTGGAAGTATTGGTGTGTTGGTAGACCTGACGTGGAAGTATTGGTGTGTTGGTAGACCTGACGTGGAAGTACTGGTGTAGTTGGTAGACCTGACGTGGAAGTACTGGTGTATTGGTAGACCTGACGTGGAAGTACTGGTGTGTTGGTAGACCTGACGTGGAAGTATTGGTGTTTGTAGACCTGACGTGGAAGTACTGGTGTATTGGTAGACCTGACGTGGAAGTACTGGTGTATTGGTAGACCTGACGTGGAAGTACTGGTGTATTGGTAGACCTGACGTGGAAGTACTGGTGTATTGGTAGACCTGACGTGGAAGTACTGGTGTATTGGTAGACCTGACGTGGAAGTACTGGTGTATTGGTAGACTGACGTGGAAGTATTGGTGTATTGGTAGACCTGACGTGGAAGTACTGGTGTATTGGTAGACCTGACGTGGAAGTACTGGTGTATTGGTAGACCTGACGTGGAAGTACTGGTGTATTGGTAGACCTGACGTGGAAGTACTGGTGTATTGGTAGACCTGACGTGGAAGTACTGGTGTATTGGTAGACCTGACGTGGAAGTACTGGTGTATTGGTAGACCTGACGGTGGAAGTACTGGTTTTATTGGTAGACCTGACGTGGAAGTACTGGTGTATTGGTAGACCCGACGTGGAAGTTACTGTGTTATGGTGTTGAGTACTGGGGTTTTGGTGCCTGACTGAATATGGTGTATTGTAGACCTCGACGTTTGGTGTATTGTGACTACGTGGAATCTGGTGTATTGTACCTGCGTACTTTGTCATTGTCTGTGTTTCATGTTGTTTAATAACCATCCACTTGGTTGCTTTTTCATTTTTATCCGTTGTTTATATTCTGCCCTCCAGAGTTTTATTAGTTATCTTTGTCACGTATTTGTTATCTGCTACTTTGATAGGTATGTATTCAGTGGCTCTACTTCGTCATTCTCTTTCTTTTTACATTAATTTATATTCTTAACGTTGACATCGTTTTTATTTTGGATATTTTTTAATTGTATTTCTAGCACCACCGCTTAACTGTTAGCTCATTAGTGTGCGTGTGCTGTCCTCTTATTGTATAATGTAACTGTCATTATGTAACAAAATTATAACGAGGCCTGGTCATGGACCTGGCCGAGGGGGCGTTGACCCCCGGAGCAACCTTCAAGTAGGCCTAGTCAAAGTGTTTGTCATATATATATATATATATATATATATATATATATATATATATATATATATATATATATATATATATATATATATATATATATATATATATATATATATATATGAATTTTTGCGTGTCTAATTATTTGAATTTGCGAGGTGGTGGGCTATAGCTCTTGGTCTGCTTGTGGTTTTGAAAGACTGCCATTTCTTTCTTACGTAATATCTAAACGCTGTGTACAAACTTGGGTGCATATCCTCTTTATGTAATTTCCCGTATATCAATTTAACTTGTTTAGGTTTAGCGAGTGTCTTATCACTTTATTGGCATTGGACACACTAGAGAAGGTATGTGGAAAGACGTTGTAGCACTGAAATATAGCAGACCAGCATATCAGCTTCAGGGCCGTACGCGCTAAACACCTGAAACGTACGTGAGAAACACCTGAAAATCATCTCTTCCCCCCCCCCCCTCTTTTCCCCAAGCCTCTGACTTAGTAGTCGACAGCTCTCTTACCGCATGATTGGTCACTTACCTCTTGCCACCATCCACTTATGGCTGATCTCTTGTTCCTGTCAGCATCTCTAACTTTATAATGCACTTTTTGGGTCTAACTTGCTTTACATATATACGTCTTGCTCTCAATACATATATACGCCAGACTGTTTACGTGTATACGTTTGACTTAAAATGCATACGTCTAACTTTACATTTACACCTCTGACTTTACATAGATACATCTGACTTTACATGTATAAGTCTGACTTTACATGTATACATCTAACTTTATATGTATACGTTTGACTTTACATGTATACGTCTGACTTTCATCTACTTTCGTGAAATCAGTTGTACTTTATTTTTTTACTCATGAGCCTTGGGGTTGGTTTACTTCTTCTTGCGCTGACGCCTCGAGACTTCGTTGTGGTTGATCTCCGGAGGCTGGGAGTGAGAGCGGGACCTGAGGGAAGGTGCAGCTGCTGCCGTGGAGCGACTCAAGGCGTCTCTATCAGGGGTGTAAGCTCGCCTCATACTTCCGCCCCTCATGTTGCGGCGTCCTGAGAGGGTCTCGCGATACACGAGCGGGTTCAGCATCTCCCTGCGGGAAGGAAGTGTTAGGCACAAGCAGAAATGGGGCACAAGGTAGAGAGAAAGCAGAGACATGTCTCATAGGACACAAGACGAAGAATAATCGGGAAGATATTAATTATATTAATGTAGAACATAGGAAAGAACACGCAGAAAGTTCCATGAAATATTACGGCAAGAAGAGATAGAGACGTATCACATAGAACACCATAAGAGAGCAAATAGAAAGATCTAGGAGACACTAGAGCCAGAGTAGGTAATATATATATATATATAGTAGGTTGGTAGACAGCAAGCACCCGGGGAGGTACTACCGTCCTGCCAAGTGAGCGTGAAACGAAAGCCTGTAATTGTTTTACATGATTGCTGGTGTCTTTGTCTGTCTCATAAATATGGAAGATTCCAGGTACGTCTTGCTACTTCTACTTACACTTAGGTCACACTACACATACATGTACATGTTTATTTATACACACTCACCTGAGTTTTCTTTGATTTTATCTTAATAGTTCTTGGTCTTATTACTATTCCTTTTATATCCATGGGGAAGTGGAATAAGAATCTTTCCTCCGTAAGCCATGCGTGTTGTAAAAGTCAACTAAAATGCCGGGAACAATGAGCTAGTAACCCCTTTTCCTGTAATAATTACTAAAAAAATAAGAAGAAAATTGTCAAAGTGGGAAGTCTGAATGTGCGTGGTTGTGCAAATGATAAGAAAGATAATTGTGGATGTTATGAATGAGAAGAAACTGGATGTCCTGGCTTTAAGTGAAACAAAGCTGGAGGGGGTGGGTGAGTTTCAGTGGAGAGGAATAAATGGGATTAGGTCAGGAGTTTCAAATAGAGTTAGAGCTAACGAAGGAGTAGCAATAATGTTGAAGGATAAGATATGGAAGGAAAAGAGGGACTATAAAAATATTAATTCAAGGGTTATGTGGAGTAAAATAAAGGTTGGATGTGAAAAGTGGGTTATAGTAAGCGTATATGCACCTGGAGAAGAGAGAAGTGTAGGGGAGAGAGAGAGAGATTTTGGGAAATGTTGAGTGAATGCGTGGGGAGTTTTGAACAAAGTGTGAGAATAATGGTGGTTGGGAATATCAATACTAAAGTGGGCAAAAATGTTGTGGAGGGAGTAGTAGGAGAATTTGGGGTGCCAGGGGTAAATGAAAATGGGGAGCCTTTAATTGAGCTATGTGTAGAAAGAGGTTTGGTAATAAGTAATACATATTTTATGAAGAGGAGGATAAATAAATATACAAGGTATGATGTAGCACGTAATGAAAGTAGTTTCTTAGATTATGTGTTGGTGGATAAAAGGTTGATGGGTAGGCTCCAGGATGTACACATTTATAGAGGGGGCAACTGATATATCAGATCATTATTTAGTTGTAACTACAGTTAGAGTAAGAGGTAGATGGGAAAAGAGGAAAATGGCAACAACAAGCAAGAGGGAGGTAAAAGTGTATAAACTAAGGGAGGAGGAAGTTCGGGTGAGATATAAGCAATTATTGGCAGAAAGGTGGGCTGGTGCAAGTAAGAGTAGTGGGGGGGGGGGTTGAAGAGGGTTGGAATAGTTTTAAAAATGCAGTATTAGAATGTGGGGCAGAAGTTTGTGGTTATAGGAGGGTGGGTGCAGGAGGAAAGAGGAGTGATTGGTGGAATGATGAAGTAAAGGGTGTGATAAAAGAGAAAAAGGTAGCTTATGAGAGGTTTTTACAAAGCAGAAGTGTTATAAGAAGAGTAGAGTATATGGAGAGTAAAAGAAAGGTGAAGAGAGTGGTGAGAGAGTGCAAAAGGAGAGCAGATGATAGAGTGGGAGAGGCACTGTCAAGAAATTTTAATGAAAATAAGAAAAAAAATTGGAGTGAGTTAAACTAGTTAAGAAAGCCTAGAGAACGAATGGATTTGTCAGTTAAAACAGAGTAAGGGAGTTAGTAGATGGGGAGATGGAGGTTTTGGGTAGACGGCGAGAATGTTTTGAGGAACTTTTAAATGTCGACGAAGAAAGGGAAGCGGTAATTTCATGCATTGGCCAGGGAGGTATATCATCTTTTAAGAGTGAAGAAGAACAGGATGTGAGTGTGGGGGAGGTGCGTGAGGCATTACGTAGAATGAAAGGGGGTAAAGCAGCTGGAACTGACGGGATCATGACAGAAATGTTAAAAGCAGGCGGGGGATATAGTGTTGGAGGGGTTGGTATTTTTGTTTAATAAATGTATGAAAGAGGGGAAGGTACCTAGGGATTGGCAGAGAGCATGTATAGTTCCTTTATATAAAGGGAAAGGGGACAAAAGAGATTGTAAAAATTGTAGAGGAATAAGTTTACTGAGTATACCAGGAAAAGTGTACGATAGGGTTATAATTGAAAGAATTAGAGGTAAGAGAGAATGTAGGATTGTGGATGAGCAAGGAGGTTTCAGAGTGGGTAGGGGATGTGTAGATCAAGTGTTTACATTGAAACATATAAATGAACAGTATTTAGATAAAGGTAGGGAAATTTTTATTGCATTTATGGATTTAGAAAAAAAAATAAATGGAACCTGACGATCTGTTGGAGTGTGAGCAGGGTAATATTTAGTGAAGGGATTCAGGGAAACCGGTTATTTTTATATAGCCGGACTTGAGTCCTGGAAATGGTAAGTACAATGCCTGCACTCTAAAGGAGGGGTTTGGGATATTAGCAGTTTGGAGGGTTATGTTGTGTCCCTTTATACGTATATGCTTCTAAACTGTTGTGTTCTGAGCACCTCTGCAAAAACAGTGATTATGTGTGAGTGAGGTGAAAGCGTTGAATGATGATGAAAGTGTTTTCTTTTTGGGTCACCCTGCCTCGGTGGGAGACGGCCGACTTGTTAAATATATATAATATATATATATATATATATATATAATATATATATATATATATATATATAACACGAGCACGGAGAAAACAAGCAGAAAGAACTAGGGGACACGAGGCACAGAGCGAGGAGAACGAACTTTTAGAGGACAATGAAGAAAAATGTAAAGGTCACAAGGAAGAAAAGTAGAAAATATCTAAGGGCAAAGAGTCCTGATAACTGTTTGTTTTCTAGATTCTGCCGTCAGCATAACATTAAATATTAATTGCTTTAGGTTAGGTTATTTATTAACTTATATTTATGTATAATTAACCAACAATAATCACATTACATAAATGCGAGGTTAAGAGAGTCGGGGATAGAGACATAGTCGTGGCGTAAATATCTGGAAATCACAGGTTGGTCCACGGTGGAGGAGAGGTTACTTAGGAGACACAAGGGAGAGAGGTGGTAGGAAGATCTCCTTTAATATTTCAAGGTAGAGAGAGAGAAAAACTGCATTTTCTTCTGGCAGAGATGAGACCAGGATCACGTCACTGCAGGAAGAAGGAATGTGTTTAGAGAACCCACCTTGGAACACAGGAAAGAATTAGGACCCCCATTTTAAGAGAGAATAGGAGGATGGGACTCCCTTGTTCTGAAGCCTGAGAAGCCTCCTCTTGCTTGGCAGTTTAAGGAAGAATATAGATCCTTTCCGTGGAGGAGAAAGGAAGAGAGAATAAAGAGCGTCTCTTTAAGAGGATTGAATTATGGTTTCGAGATGAAAGGTAAAGGGAGAGAGAGAGATGCCAGTGCTTGCGTGTACTCACCTATATGTGGTTGCATGGGGTCGAGTCTCGGCTCCTGACCCCACTTCTCAACTTGCCACTTTCCAGATTCATTCCCTCCTAGCCTCGTGGACTGGATCCCACCTGCTCTTAAAGCTTTAAGATTGAGACATTTATGCAACATATGGGAATCTTTATTCAGGAAACGTTTCGCCACACAGTGGCTTCATCAGCCAATACAAAGTAGAAAGGCGTAAGGAGAGGAGGAGTTTGAGGTAATCAGTCCCTCAGCCTGGAGTTGTGTCGACATCGACTCAGTGAGGAGATTACCTCAAACTCCTCCTCTCCTTACGCCTTTCTACTTTGTATTGGGCTGATGAAGCCACTGTGTGGCGAAACGTTTCCTGAATAAAGATTCCCATATGTTGCGTAAGTGTCTCAATCTTCAACTTCTCGGTTTTTCAAACCATTCATCACACTCTTAAAGCTTACCGCCACTAATTATTCATTGATATCATTCTACTTCCCGACCTCCTTGAGACAAGAAATGCTTCCTGACATCCCATTGGCTTATATGTATCTTTAACTTCTAGCTTTGTCCACGAGTACCTGTTTCTCGGCCTCACACTTACAACTGTCCCATAACTGACTCATTAAATCACATGTGACTCACTCATTATTCATTATAACTTTCACTCATCTCACTCTCATAGCTCACCCTCATGACACACTCATAACTCATTAACTCATTCTCAGTCGTTATCATCGATGAGGTTCCCAAAACTCTCTCCCTCTAAAACTGTTGTCCAGTATTTATACATTCTCGAGATATCTGGTTTGGATGTTGGCTCTGCATGTTCTCCCTCTCTCCTCTCTCTTAGCTCCTTCTCAGACACCTTGTATGCCCATCATTCTGATTGCCATTCTTGTCCCCGTCCTTACTTGGCGTTTAGTCTTCTCTGTATCTCTTAGCCCTTTCTCCCTTCTGTCTTTCTTCACACACTGTCTTATCCCCACTTTCTCCTTTTGTCTTTTCTCACATTATTTAAGCCATGTTGCTGAATTCTCTCTCCTTTAACGTCTTCTCAGCATCGTTCTTCCTTTCTCTCTTCACACGTTCTCTTATATTCCCTTCATAATGTCGTCCCTCAAACGTCTTAGCTTACGTTCACCATTGTGTTCCCTCCCAACTTCTCCATCATGTCGACCTTCACAAGTCATCTTAGCTGACATTCACCATTGTGTTCCCTCCCATACTCTCCATCATGTCGACCTTCACAAGTCATTAGCTGACATTCACCATTGTGTTCCTCCCATACTCTCCATCATGTCGACCTTCACACGTCATCTTAGCTGACATTCACCATTGTGTTCCCTCCCATTACTCTCCATCATGTCGACCTTCACACGTCATCTTAGCTGACATTCACCATTGTGTTCCCTCCCATTACTCTCCATCATGTTGACCTCCACACGTCATCTTAGCCGACAGTCACCATTGTTCGTCCTCCACACTTCATCTTAGATGACAGTCACCACTGTTCGTCCTTCACACGTCATCAATGTGTCCCCTCCCATCTTTCACCATTGCCAGCACACGCCCCCTCTCCCCACTCCTCTGGAAGACTCACTCGTCATCCTCGTCCTCCTTCTTTTTGCTGGCTTGTTCCTCCTCCTCCTCACAGTACCTCCTTGACCGCCGGCCTCTCCGGTCTCCGCCATCTTCAGATTCTCTCCTCGCTTCGTCTGCAAGGAAATAAAGAAAATTAACAATCAACTTTTGCAAGATGTACAAGCTTACTAAAAACAGGTTTGGGAGTGTCGACGCAATATGAAGAACAAATATGTAGATAAAGACGCATATGTATAGTTCAAGCCATTTGTTGTATAAACGTTTAGCCATGAGTGGCCTTTTCAGTCCTAGCTTGTTCGAAATGCTCTGCATAACCAGGAACTTTCCATGTGTACTACCAAATGTCATCCAGTTTGGTGAAAACGATGTATCTTAGGGAAGTAAATATTATTATTATTATTATTACTATTATTATTATTGTCATCAGGACTGAAGAAGTCACTTGCGTAGAAAGCCTTCCTCAATAATTGAATTGAACTGGGCGTATGTGCTTTTATCAACACACTATCGGTATCACTGTACCAGTTCTCCATCCATACAGGACAGGCTTTTATTGGGACAAGCTTTAGCTCAAGGTAGAGCTTTATTATGACCTGATAAAGCTCTGCTTTGAGAGAAACAGTGTCCCAGCAGAAGCTTGACCTGTATATTTTGTCTTCATAACCACAACTTTCCCTCTCCCGCATTTTATTTTAATGTTGGTTTGTATATATTAAAAAGTCTTCTTTTTTTATCATTTTTAACGTTATTGTTTTGTTTACCTTGACGCTTATTATGGGATTTCTTATGTTTGTTTCTTGAATCACAGCGTTAGAAGGATGTTGAGACTTGGGAAAGTTGTCATGAGTAGAATGTTGAGAGAGTTATGGAAGTTGATGAAAGTAGAATGTTACGGAAGTTAATGTGAGTACGGTGTTAAGAAGTTATGAGAGAAGTAAAATTTTAAGGTAGTTATGGGAGAAAATGAGTAGAAGGCTGAGAAAATTGTGGGAGGTAGCTAGAGTAGAAATGACTAGCAGAGAAGACTAGAAAACGCAAAAGGGTACGGACAGGAACGGTGACATATCTTAAGTGTAAAATCCTTTTAGAGAGACATCCGGTATGGCCTATTACTTGTGCTTATCCTCCTTATCTCGCCCTGACTCGAGAACTTACTCCAGACAAGATTCTCCTACTCAAAGACGAGTCGACAAGGTTCTACACTCTAGTGTTTATCACTACAGATGTTTTGATTAGTTGAATTAAGTCTTATTGAGGACCTATATCGAGATGGAAGAGATCTTTAATTTACCGTAACATTTCAAAGCGCATCCCTATTTACGATATTTTCTCACCTCTTCCTCGAGGATGCTACCCACAACAGCTGACTGACACCTGGTACTTATTTATTGCTAGACAAACAGAGACAGCAAGTGTAGGGAGACTTGCCCATAGTCTTCACACATCCGGAACTGAGCCTGGGTCCGTTGGTTGTGAGCCCAAAGTGCTACTACAGAGCTACGAAGCACTAATTTCATTACTCTTAAAGAAATGTGCCTCAAGGTTATGCTTAACACAGGACAAGCGTTATTACTGTGCCCTCGTAAATGTTTATAAGGTTGTATCTTCTCTGAAGTCATCCTCTGAGAGCTGCAGAGAGCCTGGTACTTGGGTCTTGATACCTACCTTGGGATGACGTGTTAAAATTAGGAAGTTGACGCTTTTGGGTCTGCCACTCGACTGGTCATAGAGGTTTAAAGATGGAACGGAAATGAAATGGAAATTGCAGACCTTGAAATAGTCGTCGTCGTATTGCAACCAAATGATGAAGCTGTTAGTGTTGACTGACGATGTATAACTTGTATAAATCAATATATATATTGTAAACTATTTGTTGCGGGTTATCTTAAACCAGTTTTGATGAAATTTTTTGTTGTGTGCTTGTTTAGTGTGAATGATTGTATCATTTTTATGGAATTGTTTTAATTTAAGTGACCAATGTGTGTTTAGTAAAATGAGACAGTTTGCAGAGGAAGTCTTGATTTTGACGACGTTTCGCGCAACGTTGATGTTTATCACGTGATTATTGACATGACTGGAAGCTCAGCACTAAATGAAACGTCTTTAAAACAAAGACTTTCTTTTTCAAACTTTCATTTTACTACAGTTATTAGCATCAGTTACCAGTGAAACCACTGTATATCGTTGACGGTAACTTTTATTGTCAGTAGTGCTGAATGTCTTATGTAAACCGCTGAATTACTCTACATGTCAAAGTGCGTAATGAACCATATCAGAACGCTGATTGACCTATGCCAAAAAGCTTAACTGCCTTTCTGTGTCAAAGTGCTGACGTACCTCCAATGTCAGAATGCATTATAAAGCTTCCTACACTGTGACAGGCGCAAAAATCTCAACTGCGGAGCATGTACAGTAATACCCTCTGCGACTACATTATAAGAGAGCATAAGGCGTTTAAATCTTGCGCTGCTTTCTTACAGGAATTCTCCGCCCGCATTTTCTGAGGTCCTTTGTACCTCGGGGACCTTGGTAATAAACTCACCTGCAGAGAAGAAAATTAAAGAGATTACAAAACTCCTTTTACCTCGTCCTGCTTCGTTCACAGCACTGGTGCAAAAACATATGCTAGTAGCTGTTAGGACTCTGACAACGCTTTCTGGTGCATAAATACTACCTAGGGTTCATTACCTGCTATTATTAGTAGTAGTACTAGTATTAATATATGTGAAGTGCTAAGTCCGTGTGAATCATTTAGCGCAAAAGATGGTGAAATTCGATCCTCCCTCCGCTAAACGCAAGACAGAAACTCTCGAAGATTGCATCTAATTCATTACCGTTTAGGGCCTATATAGGGCATGCTAAAACTCATATAGAACCTACTAAGGCTCAGAACCTGTTAGAACTCTGGTAGGATATGCAGGGACTCGGCCTGCTGAAGATTAAATATTGTTTTATTTACTCAGGACCTCCTAGAACTCAGAACATGCTTGACTTAAGATTGTTTAACTCGCTGGGATTCCGAGAGCACCAGATGATAACTGAGGAAAACCTGCTGCTATTTACTCGTTTCTTTAATTATTTAATCAAATATGTTTTAATTCATTGAGTTGTGCTGCACTCTCACCTAGAATTACAAGTTGACAGCAAGTGTATATATAGGAAAAAACACACTCCTGTACGCCCCCCCCCCACAAACACACGAGTAAACATCACACGAAATAAATGACCGGAAGAGCAGCCTATGTGAGCTTAGCAGATCTCAGCATAGCCTTCAGGTATCTCAACAAAGAATGTTTCAGGCCTCTACACACAAAGTAGTTAGGCCCAACTTAAAATAAGCAGCATCAGGTTGGAGCCCCTACCTGGAAAGGTGTATCGGTATGCAACCAAACTAGTCCTAGAGCTAAGAAGGGTATGTTATGAAAATAAACTAAGTGAATCGAACCTGACCACCCTGGAAGAGAGGACAAGGACATAATTATGACGCATAAAATAATTGGAATAATTAATAAGGCAGATAAGGACAGAAATTTTAACAATGTTAGGCCAGTGTACAAGGGGACACAGGTGATTCAGTGTGATGTTAAAAAATACTTTTTTCAGTCTCAGGGTAATGAGAAAGTGAAATGAACCGAATGTGTGAGTGGTGGTGGCAAAGTGCTTACATAGTTTTAAGAGCAGGTATGACACAGCTGAAGAAGCCAGAAAGCAATACAGGTTAATTAAGCTTAAGAGGCGGGGCCAGGAGCTGCGGCTCGACCACTGCAAACGGAATGCATGAATACACACATACAGAAAAGTTATAAAGTAAAATAGCTGGAACACACCGTCTTAACCAAGATAAGCATGTTCTTATAAAAAAATATAAATTTTTCTACTTTTAAGAGCGTGTAGGTCGTGAGGAAAGGCCACCGGAAGGCTATTCAGGGGCCTCGCCTGACGAGAGGACTCCAGTAAAAGCTTCCTCTGTTATACTTTCATTCCTTCCTTGTAAGAAGCTGTCCAACTTCCTGTGGGAGTACTTCATGGGTTCTAAAGCACAATATTAGAGCTCCCATCCCCTTCCCCACCAGCGTGCGCCTTAATGATTTTGATCAACAGATACAATGTAAGGTGAATTGGTGTTGTTGAAAAGTAAAAGGTCACAATGTCATGGCTAAAACAGTTGTTGTTAAAGAGTTAAAGTCATAATACCATGACGGAAATAATTGTTGTTGTTAAGTATAGATCACAATACACTGGACGAAATAATTAAAAAATAATCCCCACTTTGTAGAGAAAATTTCAAACGACCGAAACGTCGTCTAAAGTTTTCTCTCTACAGTGGATGAACGACTAGTTTATCTTCTTTTCGGGACTGGTAGTTGAAGTATCGTTAGTAGTAGTACTACTAGTAGTAGCAGCATTAGTGGCAGTTTCAACAGCAGTAATAACAGGGTAGTTCAGCTGAGTGTAGGTCAGCTGGCTGCATCTCTGTCATGATTAACATTTGAGCCTAGCAAGGCGTACTTCTCGAATCAGATGATTTGAACAACGATAACAGCAGCAGCAGCAGCAGCAGCGGTAGAGTTATTACCACTCAACCCGCATTATAACCAATATTAATACTAAAAATAATAATTTATTCTCTTTTGACACTTAAAAGCTTTACGGAAGTTAGTGCCCTTGTTCCTGCGTTTGTTTTAAGGTAAATATGATATCAATATCAACTCATTTGGAAGGTGACTCGTAGCAATATATTTATTATACATAACTTATAGATGTAAATTTAGTTAATATAAAGTCACAAACATACACAGAAAAGAATGAAGTTGGGCTATAGCTGTTGACCAGATTTTTCATTTGGACAATTATATTTTTAATGTTCATATGTTGCGAGAAATTGTAATAAACACGAGTCATTCGAAAATTAAATAATCGTTGATGCAGCAAATTAAGAATGATATAACCTTAGTGAAATTACTAACTGTATGTTGTTATTTATGCCGACTTAATCGGATAAATAACAATGTATGGTTTCCGTGTATAAAGACAAATCTTCAGTCAACGTGGGACCGGATTTACGCGTTGGTTAATGAAAAACTTGTTTAATTTTAAAGTGGCTCGATTTTTATTACACTTTCTTAGTGGTTCTACAGAGTTGATGCATTGTTTGTGTTTGTTTGTATGCCTTATTAGTCTGTAAACTAAATAATCGAATATCCCAATTGCGGTCTGATCTGTAGTTTTGTGTGGTTTCAGAAAAGAAAAGATGTCCAGGAAATTTGAAAAGCCTGAACAGTACGTGTTCAGGAGCAATAATGGGGAGAAATTCAAATTATTGGCTGTGAGTCCCCATAAGACGAATCCGCTGTGTGTGTTGGTGGTGGCCTCACACACAACCACTAGCGGAGCATACAAGAAAGACGAAGTACTGCTGCTACAGGCCCGGGCGGAGGGCGGCCTCTTACTGTCTACTCGGGTGGCTACGTCGCCCAAGCCTTTGGTTTTTCTAATATGGGACTTGGTGCCATGGGTGACGGAGCAGCGACACCAGCAGGTACACGAGCTAATCATCACTGCTACAGGAGAGAACATCTTAATCAATCAGTTCAGAGACGAGGTACTGGTACCGCAGTGTAGATTGTCTTGTGGTGTGCCAGTCACTGCGTGCGTGATGCAGAGGTGGCTACCCAGGATTGTTTACGCGGGTGGCGCCGGTGCTGGCAAGATAGATCTCATATTCAATAAAAGCAAAATTGAAATAAACAATGTCTTGCAGTTCCCGCCGTGGATGAAGGAGGATAAAAAACTATGTTTCCTCAGCATTGGCTGTGTAGAAAATAAAAGCGAGGTGCTACTGGGTGACTCGGAGGGCAAAATCTACTTGTTTGGAGTTCCTCAGTGCACAGTGGCGACGGTGGGTGAGAAGTTCACTATCTTGAGAGACATGACGGTGCCATTTCCCGTGAATGCATTAGCAGTGGCACCTCAGGGAAGAGGACTGAGCACCTTGAAGGTAGTTGCTGTGGGGGTATCTGGAAACGCACGCCTTGCTGGAGGTGGAGCTAACGTCAGGTACTCCTTGTAGACTTAGCCACCTGTCGGAGGAGGTGCACGAGGCGGCCTGGTGTAGGCATGAGGAGCTCATTTACCTCACCACGCTCGACAACAAGTGCCAACTACACCACTGGACGACCAACATGAGCGAGGAACCCGGGAAGTGGACACCCTGGACCATTAGCTTACTAGAGGAAAATGGCGTGAAGGTGTCTTGGAGCGCCGCTGACCCGCACTGGCTCGCCTACATTACTCATGCATGCGTCTCGCTGGAAAACATGACTGAGCTCTTTTAGACTCTCCTCGGCGTTAAATTAAATAAATTACAGTATCGTTAAAACGACTTCCGCGTTAAATGAAGCAGACATTGCTTCAGACAAGTGTCCACGATAAGTGAAAAAAAAACATTGTTTCAAAGAGCTGTCCGCATTAAGTGAAGTAAACATTAGCTTGAGACTACTGTCTGAGTTAAGTGAGGTAAATATACCTTCAAACATTCAAAAGCTGTCGTAGTTAAGTTAAAAATCTCTTCAATCTTCTACGTTAGTGAGGTAAATATCGCTTAAAACTTCTATCCCCATGGATCATCACGTCGGTCTCCCAGGAATGAAATATATTTATTATATTTAGGAAAGTTCTTCAAGTTGGACTCCAGGTATATATATTTGGTTGTTGCGCTTCACTTCCATGTAATTGTATTGAACAGTGTGATCGGAGCTGGCACTAGACACATTTGTTGCTTTCTGATGGCATGTGTTGTCATGACTAATGTATTGACAACCTATTTTTTTATTCCTTCTGATGGATCGAGGTTCATATTATCCTTCAAAATACTTCAGTTTGTATTATCTGATACAAAAATAGTCTCAAATATTGAATTGTTTGTCACATATATACTGTTTTCTCAAGCTGCAGAATATCGTGTTCTTTTCTGATGTTTGAGTTATTTCTGCATTTGTATTATTAAGTTTTAATTAGAGCATTCCATACACATCAGTGTAATAGAATAATGCTTTCAAAGAATACATTCATTATTGCTGTTTACATTATGGGTGCTTGTAAGATGCTTGTCACACGCCCCGGGAGACCACACATCCAGTCTGTGTTGCAAGAGCAATATGTGTGTGTGTCTGTGTAGAGGAATGACTGATTAAATAATGGATCAAAATGTTGACGCAGGAAAAAAGGTTCGTACCTTACTAGTTAGGCCCTTAATGAACTAAAAGTTGGTTTCATTTTATTGTTTTCTTTCAATAAAAGTTATGTTTATAGTCAGCATTGACTCATTTGCCTCATAGTTTTTTTTTTTTCTGAATTTTCCGATAACATAATTGAAGACCCGGATCAAAATAGGTGACAGTGTTTGACTTTGTTGAGTAACTTATGTTAAAGCTGCATCACTCACTACCAATGTTTGCCTGTAACAAATGTGTTATTGGAGCCGTTAAGGGAATCTTAATACAAGGAATTGGAATTGTTCTTCCCTTCCTTGGATCGAACATGATTGCTTCCTATTCTCCCAAGAGCTGTATGATCTCTTCTGGCTTAGCGCTCTTCACGGAATATAATAAAAATATTGTTATATCACGTTATGTCTTTACAAACTCTTCTTTGAGGGAAACGTTGTCACAGTGAAGATTTGTTCTTGTACATGAGTGAAACGTGGGGTCTCAGTACCTAGTAAGGGACTTTACGCTCTGACCTCTCAAAGTAGAGTGAAGAGTATAGCGACTCTGCCGTAGCGACGATGTGTAAGTAAAGGTGTAAGTGGGTAATGTTGGAGGCTGGTTCCTCTAACATGCTAGACGAGAGTATAGTGTGTCATGACCAGACTATCATCTTCATATGTGTCGCTCTTCAGTTGCGTATACATTACCTGAATAAAGTTGATCCTGTTTTAACTTACACCTTCATGGCAGTATATATCTGATATATGATATACTAGTGTGCTTGTATGCGATACACTTTGGTATACCCGATGTCGCTCTTTTACATGATATATTCATTTCATATTGTGCTGACACCTTATACGACTTACGAATATAATAAAACTCATATGCAATAAGCATACTCACATCATATAGGCATATACCTCTCAGTAAGTACCTTATCTGTCCCAGACTTTACATGTAAGCATAACACAAAACTGGCAGATAACTTTCACAATAGATTTATAATTATTCGTACTCAGTACACATCTCGCACGCACGGGAGATCATGTTTATATGAGATGCTCTTCCTGAGCAGCAAGACACTCCCTCTTCTATCTCCGTAATCACAATTACTGCCTCCAGAAATGCACCTCAACACGCTATCCTTCCTACTCTACTCGTATTATATATACACACACACACACACATATATATATATATATATATGTCGTGCCGAATAGGCAGAACTTGCGATCTTGGCTTAAATAGCAACGCTCATCTTGCCATATAGGACAAATGAAAATTTGTGTATGCAATAATTTCGCCAAAATCATTCTGAACCTAAACGAAAAAAATATATTTGATGGTGTTTGTTTAGTACTAAATTATTGTAAACGTATTTAAAATATATTTAGTTGGGTTAAGCTAAAATAAACTGCGCTTGTTATAATAAGGTTAGGTAAGTTTTCTAAGATTCTTTTGATGCAAAATTAATATTTTTTACATTAACATTAATGAAAAAAATATATCTTTAAACGTATAAGAGAAAAATTCAGAAAGGACTTAATTTTATATGTTTTCTTGCTAATTGACCAGCTTTACATATTCGGCACGACATATATATATATATATATATATATATATATTATATATATATATATATATATATATATATATATATATATATATATATATATATATATATATATATATATATATATTTATTATCACACTGGCAGATTCCCACCAAGGCAGGGTGGCCCGAAAAAGAAAAACTTTCACCATCATTCACTCCATCACTGTCTTGCCAGAAGGGTGCTTTACACTACAGTTTTTAAACTGCAATATTAACACCCCTCCTTCAGAGTGCAGGCACTGTACTTCCTATCTCCAGGACTCAAGTCCGGCCTGCCGGTTTCCCTGAACCCCTTCATAAATGTTACTTTGCTCACACTCCAACAGCACGTCAAGTATTAAAAACCATTTGTCTCCATTCACTCCTATCAAACACGCTCACGCATGCCTGCTGGAAGTCCAAGCCCCTCGCACACAAAACCTCCTTTACCCCCTCCCTCCAACCTTTCCTAGGCCGACCCCTACCCCGCCTTCCTTCCACTACAGACTGATACACTCTTGAAGTCATTCTATTTCGCTCCATTCTCTCTACATGTCCGAACCACCTCAACAACCCTTCCCCAGCCCTCTGGACAACAGTTTTGGTAATCCCGCACCTCCTCCTAACTTCCAAACTACGAATTCTCTGCATTATATTCACACCACACACTGCCCTCAGACGTGACATCTCCACTGCCTCCAACCTTCTCCTCGCTGCAACATTCATCACCCATCCTTCACACCCATATAAGAGCATTGGTAAACTATACTCTCATACATTCCCCTCGTTGCCTCCAAGGACAAAGTTCTTTGTCTCCACAGACTCCTAAGTGCACCACTCACCCTTTTCCCCTCATCATTTCTATGATTCACCTCATCTTTCATAGACCCATCCGCTGACACGTCCACTCTCAAATATCTGAATACATTCACCTCCTCCATACTCTCTCCCTCCAATCTGATATCCAATCTTTCATCACCTAATCTTTTTGTTATCCTCATAACCTTACTCTTTCCTGTATTCACTTTTAATTTTCTTCTTTTGCACACCCTACCAAATTCATCCACCAATCTCTGCAACTTCTCTTCAGAATCTCCTAAGAGCACGGTGTCATCAGCAAAGAGTAACTGTGACAACTCCCACTTTATGTGTGATTCTTTATCTTTTAACTCCACGCCTCTTGCCAAGACCCTCGCATTTACTTCTCTTACAACCCCATCTATAAATATATTAAACAACCACGGTGACATCACACATCCTTGTCTAAAGCCTACTTTTACTGGGAAATAATTTCCCTCTTTCCTACATACTCTAACTTGAGCCTCACTATCCTCGTAAAAACTCTTCACTGCTTTCAGTAACCTGCCTCCTATACCATACACCTGCAACATCTGCCACATTGTTCCCCTATCCACCCTGTCATACGCCTTTTCCAAATCCATAAATGCTACAAAGACCTCTTTAGCCTTATCTAAATACTGTTCACTTATATGTTTCACTGTAAACACCTGGTCCACACACCCCCTACCTTTCCTAAAGTCTCCTTGTTCATCTGCTATCCTTTTCTCCGTCTTACTATTAATTCTTTCAATAATAACTCTACCATACACTTTACCAGGTATACTCAACAGACTTATCCCCCTATAATTTTTGCACTCTCTTTTGTCCCCTTTGCCTTTATACAAAGGAACTATGCATGCTCTCTGCCAATCCCTAGGTACCTTTCCCTCATCCAAACATTTATTAAATAATTGCACCAACCACTCCAAAACTATATCCCCACCTGCTTCTAACATTTCTATCTTTATCCCATCAATCCCGTCTGCTGTACCCCCTTTCATTTTACCTACTGCCTCAAGAACTTCCCCCACACTCACAACTGGCTCTTCCTCACTCCTACAAGATGTTATTCCTCCTTGCCCTATACACGAAATCACAGCTTCCCTATCTTCATCAACATTTAACAATTCCTCAAAATATTCCCTCCATCTTCCCAATACCTCTAACTCTCCATTTAATAACTCTCCTCTCCTATTTTTAACTGACAAATCCATTTGTTCTCTAGGCTTCCTTAACTTGTTAATCTCGCACCAAAACTTTTTCTTATTTTCAACAAAATTTGTTGATAACATCTCACCCACTCTCTCATTTGCTCTCTTTTTACATTGCTTCACCACTCTCTTAACCTCTCTCTTTTTCTCCATATACTCTTCCCTCCTTGCATCACTTCTACTTTGTAAAAACTTCTCATATGCTAACTTTTTCTCCCTTACTACTCTCTTTACATCATCATTCCACCAATCGCTCCTCTTCCCTCCCGCACCCACTTTCCTGTAACCACAAACTTCTGCTGAACACTCTAACATTACATTTTTAAACCTACCCCATACCTCTTCGACCCCATTGCCTATGCTCTCATTAGCCCATCTATCCTCCAATAGCTGTTTATATCTTACCCTAACTGCCTCCTCTTTTAGTTTATAAACCTTCACCTCTCTCTTCCCTGATGCTTCTATTCTCCTTGTATCCCATCTACCTTTTACTCTCAGTGTAGCTACAACTAGAAAGTGATTTGATATATCTGTGGCCCCTCTATAAACATGTACATCCTGAAATCTACTCAACAGTCTTTTATCTACCAATACATAATCCAACAAACTACTGTCATTTCGCCCTACATCATATCTTGTATACTTATTTATCCTCTTTTTCTTAAAATATGTATTACCTATAACTAAACCCCTTTCTGTACAAAGTTCAATCAAAGGGCTCCCATTATCATTTACACCTGGCACCCCAAACTTACCTACCACACCCTCTCTAAAAGTTTCTCCTACTTTAGCATTCAGGTCCCCTACCACAATTACTCTCTCACTTGGTTCAAAGGCTCCTATACATTCACTTAACATATCCCAAACTCTCTCTCTCTCCTCTACATTCCTCTCTTCTCCAGGTGCATACACGCTTATTATGACCCACTTTTCGCATCCAACCTTTACTTTAATCCACATAATTCTTGAATTTACACATTCATATTCTCTTTTCTCCTTCCATAACTGATCCTTCAACATTACTGCTACCCCTTCCTTAGCTCTAACTCTCTCAGATACTCCAGATTTAATCCCATTTATTTCCCCCCACCGAAACTCCCCTACCCCCTTCAGCTTTGTTTCGCTTAGGGCCAGGACATCCAACTTCTTTTCATTCATAACATCAGCAATCATCTGTTTCTTGTCATCCGCACTACATCCACGCACATTCAAGCATCCCAGTTTTATAAAGTTTTTCTTCTTCTCTTTTTTAGTAAATGTCTACAGGAGAAGGGGTTACTAGCCCATTGCTCCCGGCATTTTAGTCGCCTCATACGACACGCATGGCTTACGGAGGAAAGATTCTTTTCCACTTCCCCATGGACAATTGAAGAAATAAAGAAGAACAAGAGCTATTTAGAAAAAGGAGAAAAACCTAGATGTATGTATATATATATATATGCATGTGC